TAAATTCACTAGCTAAGATACATCACTTTTATATATTTTAGAGGTTATACAAATGATACTTTTGTTATGATACTTATATCAGTTTTGCTATGATCTAAATGTTACTTTAGCTAGTATCATAATATTAGTTTTGTTATGATAGCATTATTAATTTTACTATAATAGTTTTGCTAACTTTGCTATAATAATTTTGCCATGATCATTATATTTGCAAAACCTTCTAAAAATATCTACAAATAATATTCTTTAAAGCTAATATTCAATAAAATATAAAGAATTATTCATCTAATCATATTGTAATATAAAGTGACCAATAATATAATTAACTAATATTCTACTAAAAGTTCATATTACAACAATACTTATATTACTCTTATTATAATCTAAATATTACTTAACTAGTATTATATATTAATTTTATTATAATAGTATTATTAATTTTACTATAATAATTTTACTAACTTTATTATAATAATTTTATCATAAATATTATACTTTTAAAACTATTATAAATATCTATAAATAATATTTTTTATAACTAGTATTTAATAAGATATAAGTAATTAATTATCTAATTATATTATAATATAAAATAACTAATAATATCTAATAATAATTAATTAATATTTTATTAAAAGTTCATATTATAATAATAGTTTAATTTAATATTTAAATAATATAAGTAAAAACTTATATTTACTCTCTTTTTTATTTATTATATAAAGTAAAATCATAGTAATATATATCTAAATAACTTGATTTAGTATTTAATTAAATAATAAATATAAAAATAAATATATTTTTTTTAGTAAGATATAAAAGTACTAATTTATGAATAAATAAATAATTATATTAATATTTATATTTATTTAATTCTTTAAATCTAAATATAAATAATTCAGTTTGATTTAATTTATATTTAATTTTATATGATAATACTGATTATTATTAGTTTTTAATAATATCATAATTTTATTTTTTATATTATTAATTAAATTAATAGTAAGTTTAATTAAAAATTGATTTTATTTTTTTTATTCTTCATTTAATTCTTAAATAATTTGAATTTTTTTTTAATATTTTAATTTTTAAAAGTCACTATATATTTTTAATAAGTTTAAATTAAATAATATTAATAATTAAGAAAGTATTTTTATATTATTTTCTTTTTTTTATTTCTTGCAAATTTTTTAATAATATTTTAAATTATTATTCTCTTGCAAGAGCTAGTTTATATTATTATTATCAAAAAATATATTAGTAAAAATTAAAAAATTTTTTCTATAGATAATAAATATATATAGTATTTAATATTATGATTTCTTTTAAAAAAATTAATTAATCAAATTTTTAAGATAAAAAATAACTTTAAATATGAACTTTTTATAAATACTTAATTATATAAAATATTTTTCATAAATTATTAGATCTTTTTATTTAATTAATATAATTAAAAAATATTTTTATTAGTAAAAATAATCTGATTTCAATTAAAATCTTAATATTATCTTATTTATATTAATTATTTTTTTAATATTTTTAATAAGTAATAATTTTTAAAGTTTATTTAAATATTTTACTTTTGATATAATAAGATATTATTTAATTATTTATTTATTAACTTTAATATCTTAGCTTTCAAGTTTTTATTAATTATTTTATTATATTTATTCTCTATTTAAATTATACTTATATTATCTAATCTAATTTTTTTAAATATTTAGATCTTTATTTTTTTGATATTTTTTGACTCAAGAAATTATTATAAATTTATTATAATTAATATAGAAAATTATTTTTTTAAAACTTAACTTTAATTCTTTTAAATATTAATATAAAAATATTATTTTATATTATTTATATAGTAAAAGTAATATTTTTTGAAGATATAAAAATCTAATTATTATTTAATTACTTTAAAATAATTTTATTGATTTAAAATAATAATAATAATTAGTATTTATATTACTCTTTCTAAGAAAAAAATTAAAATATTATTATATTATAATTTTAAAAAATGATAAAAGTTCAATTACTTATAATTATTATTATAAATATATGAATAGAATAGATTATAACTAGAAAAATTATCATATTAAACTTATTAGTAAAAAAAAATTATTATTTTATATAAGAATTTGTCATATTTAAGAAGTTTCTTATATTTTTAAATAAATAAGTTACTAAATTTAAAAGATATAATAAACTAAGAAAAATCATAATATATAATAAAATAATAAGTATACTTTTAGAAAATTTACTTATAAAATATAAGAACTTTTTTTTTATTATAACTAAGAAGATATTTATAATATTAATAAAATAAATTTATTTTTATTAATTATTTTTAAATCAAATACTTTTTAAAATATTAATATCCAAAAAAAAATAAGTTAAAAAATAATTTAGCTAATTAATTAAAAAATTTAATATTTTTTTTAAAATAAAATAAAATTAATCATTTTATTTTTTAATTTAATTAATTTTTATAAGCTTTATCTACTTATTATTAACTTTATTAAAAAATTATAATTCTTTAATGAAATAAATCTATTATAATTATTTATAATATATTAAAGTAATTAAAAAGTATAAATAAGAAATAATATTAAGAAAAATAATTATATTATATTAATTTTAATTTTTATATTCAAATAAATAAGTTTTACTTCTTATTAATAATATAATTTCTTATATAACTTTAAAAATAAGTAAAGTTCAAGATAATATTAATATCAATATTAAAAATAATTTTAATAATAAAATTGAAAGACCTCAAAAAATTCTCGAAAAAGATCTCAGAAAAGAAGATTTTAAAAGAAAAAATCTTGAAAAAAACTTAATTTCATCTATTTTAATTGATTAAGATAAATTTCAAATTATTTTTATATTAAAATAATAATATATATTTTCTTTTATCAAATATAATTATTCATATTTAATTTATAAATACTAATATTATAAAAAATTTCAAGATAAAATATAAAAATTTATATTATTATTTACTAATTTAATTTAAGAAAAATAAAAATCTAAAAAAATAAGAATTAATTTTATTATTATTATTATTGCTATTTGCACTCCGATAATCCCAAACTCATTTTTATCGGGTCTGCATCCACTATAAATCCAATAAAGCCCATCATTCATTTCCCGCCATAGCTTTACTTTATCATCGACTTTTTCTTGTTCAAGACATATTAACCGGGAACATTCTACAAATATAAGCTCATATAACTTACCTCTATATTCTTCCATAAACATTATATCAGGTCGTTTACCCCGCTTTCCTTCCCCTTTTCTATCGGCACTAGCTTGGCTTTGTCGTTCCGCTCTAAATTTAAAACCAAATTATAAAACTAGAAAGGTACTATATGGTAGCAGTATGTCCATACTAAGTGAAAATCTTACGTGCTAAGAAAGCAGTATTTCTTATTGGAAGTTTTTTTAATGATACTCGGAGTAAAGGAACAATCACATCTGTCACATAAGTTCCTTCACTTTGTGCTTTTGCAAACTTTCGTTCAAATGCAGGGTTTCTCCAGATATCCTTTAAAGATTCTAAAATCTCAGTAGAGATGCCAGCTAATTCTTCATTTGTTTCTTTCCAAGTATGATTATGTAGATATTTCGGTGGAGGGATTTCGATCTCATCTTTATTAAAATCTTCCACAAATGCATCGCATACCTCTCTGATATTGGATGGTGCTTCCACCTTCATACGTCGTAACGGTTTCATGAAATTATAATAAACATTCCCGGATAAATTTTTCACCAAATCTGATTCGTAGCTAATTACCTGGCTGGCTAATGGACTCTGCCAATCAAGGGGGTTCGTTAAAGCAAGGCAAGCCGTTTAGCCGGTTTAGCCACATATACGCCACATTTGATCAGCGGCACATGATTCACATGATTTTACCATTTGATTGGTAAATTAAAACCCGACCAACAACGCGATTATGTTAAATCGCAAAATCACGTATTAGCGACTCCTTGTTTCAATTTAACAATGTAAAATGGAATTTCATTGTATATTAAATATTCTTAAAAGCATGTACAAGCATAAAAATAAGGGGAGAACTAAAATTATTGTTTTTTTTTGTATTATAATAAAAATGTTTCTTATTAAAGAACAGGTGTCACTTCTTCTATATTGTTCTGATTCGCTAAATGATAATATTGATCTCTTGTCCTTTCAAATAATTCATTTATTATTAAATGATTTTTTTCTACAGCCATCTCTGTTTCTGATTGAGGTTGGAGTATTTTCACTAAACTGCAAGAGTGGTATATCTTCAGGTTACTTTTTTCAAAAGTTTCTTGGAAACTTCTTCACGTTTCTGATATCAGAATATCAATGTCACTACAGAGTTACACATAAAAAATATGGTGATAGAACAGGAGATAGTAATTGAAGAATTTATAATCACACTCTGTAATCAAGAGGTTTGATGCATCTTTTTCTTGTAATCATTTCAAGACTGCATATATCTCTTCTGTGATAAGCTTCTGGATTGAAAAGAGGAATTTGTGAATCTTAGCAAGAACTGCTGGATCTACATTAGTAATAGATATTGTTTTTGTACAAAAATTAATGATGGCTTCTTTTGCTATTATTTCCTTCTTTTTATCAAGTTCCAAGATCATATAATATATATCTAAAAATAATAAAGAAGCAAAAACAAATCAAAATAAAAAAAATAATAAATAGGAAGAGATAGGTAAAGATTGAAAAAATGAAAAAGAAGTAAAGAAAAAAAATAATAAGGGAAGAAATGAAAGAGAAAAATAATAAGAAGGAAAAAAAATGAATAAAAAATAAGAAAAAGAGAAAAGAAAATAAAGAAAAAAAAAATAAAAAAGGAGGATCAAAGAAAAAAAAAATAAAAATAATAAGAAAAAAAATAAATAAGAAAAAAGAGAAAGAAAATAAAGAATAAATAATAAGAAAAGAAAGAGGAGAAAAAATAAAGAATAAATAATAGAAAGGAAAAGAGAAAGGAAAATAAAGAATAAATAAAAAGAAGAAAATGAGAAGAGAAAATAAAGAATAAATAATAAGAAGAGAGAAAAATAAAGAATAAATAATAAAAAGAGGAGAAAATAAAAAATAAATGATAAGAAGAAGAGAAAATAAAGAATAAATAATGAAAAGAGAGAAAAATAAAGAATAAATAATAGGAAAAGAAAATAAAAAAAAATAGTGATATAGTTATAATTTATATAGACTATAACTATATTACTTAGTTTGAACTATAACTATACTCTATAATAAGTAAATTATAACTATTCCAAGAATAATAAGCATTTTGCATTTTACATCACATACTTCAGGATATTTATAATTCCAAATCAAATGACATGTATTTTGTATTCTAGGTCATGCTTGAGACTAAAGCATGTATACTCTAATGTGATGTACATTTTATTTTTTATGATATATATCAAGATGGTATATTTTATATATTTGATTATATAGAAGAGTCTGATGTGAGGACTATATTCAAACTTGACACGTAGTATCATAGTTAATGTGACTGATTTCATAATATTGATCATACATAAGCTAAGTGACAAAAAAAATATATTTAATAATATATTTAACTATATATTATTATTTGCAGATCTGATATGAGAGCTATATCTAAATCTGATATATAATGTCTTAACTTTCTAATTAATTCCTCTATGTGAGTCAGGTTTAAGATACCTAGTATCAAAATAGTATTCATATTCTGGCTTTGTGAGATGTATTCAAATACTAATTGAGAATGAGATATGTAGTGCTGAATTATTAGTAGTTATTAGCTTCATATAATTCATTCAAATATCATTTGAGAATGAGATATATAGTGCTAAATTAGTACTCCTATCTGGTAATACATCAAAGTATAATTTTATAATATATATATATATCTGTAATAATTTTATCTTGACATATTACTGAAACTATGCTATATTTTCACAATCTGGAATTATTTCTTGCATAGTTGATATTATTAAATATTATCTATATGTAGTATTTCTACTTTGATTATTAGATTTGAGATACATAGTATTAAAATAATATCATTATTTATATACCAAAGCATAATTTTATAATATATATCTATAATAATTATTCCTTGATATATTATCAAAAGTTAGCTATATTTTTTAATTTCAGAACTCTTTCTCACATAGTTAGTATCTTTGAGTACTTTGCTTTATATTAAAAAATTAGATCATATTTGATAATCTTGATATATTATTTTTTTGAAAACTTTAATGTATTACTTTTTTAAAAATCTTGATGTATTACTTTTTTGATAATCTTGACATATTATTTTTTTGATAATCTTGACATATTACTGAATTAGCTATATTTTTGATAACCTTAATATATTACTTTTTTGATAATCTTGATGTATTACTAAATTGATATAAGTCTGTATAAAGTATCAAAATCACATAATACAAAAATAATTATTGATTAATTTATCTTATCTCATATATTAGAAGTACTTACATAAAATATTACCTTCATCTCAATTGGCCAGATATGTGAATTGGATGATAGTAATCCAAAAATCCTCTTTGATAAATATCTGATTATCCAAATTCTATTATTCAAAATTGGACAATACAAAAATAGTTATTGATTAATTTATCTTATTCTCTATATTGTTATAATATAGATTTTTATATATATTTTATTAGTATTAGTTATTTTATACTCGCATTTTTATTGGACAATT